TAACTTTTGCTTAAGTTAAATTTTCCATTTTTCTTAAGTTAAAAATTGTTTATATATTACCGTAATGCAATAATATTCCAGCGAGCATATAATCAACGTTGCTCCTACTATTTCAACCAAACCTATTTCGCGTAAAATCTTATCGATGTCGACTGAAAATCTACAAAATTCTTTAATATAGATTTTATATATATATATATAGTATATATATTTTATTTGATGTAAATTATTTATTTCTTTTATTTTCCATAAGGTTAATATGAAAGATTCCTAAATTTAGATCCAATAAAGAATTAAAGGCAAGAACCAATCATATTAACGAATCGCTAACGGATTAATTGATTAGTTTTTTCTGCAGAACGTAGTTATTGAGTATAGTTAATAGGAGCTAAATTTACATTAATTTTCATTTATAAATATTTCTATATATCTGTATAAAAACTTAAATTAAAAGATTTACATTTTTATTTTTGCAAATATTTTTTATGTTATGTTTCATACGTTATGTTTATATAAATTTTTAATTTAAGTAATATACATCAGGTACGTCTGATACAGATAATTATTTCCGTAACAATATGCAACAAGACTCACCTCAATGACTGCACGTGATGTTTTACAATAATTGCCATACATTGCTTCATGTGATTGCTTTGTGCACCTTTTATAAAGCTTTCTACGCGATCCATTACGATCTCGATTTGGCCGCAAGCATGAGCTACGAACATGGCTGCTAAGCAGCACACTGCCGTGGTGACGTTGAATAATATGATGCTGGAAAACCATTGCGCGCAAAATACAAATACATAGGCCGGCGTAAAATGCATGTCAAAAATAATATCGAAACCGGGGTAAGGTATAGGTTTAACAGTAACATTCTGCTCGTCGATTGAGGTTTGCGTCAGAAATGGCATTACGGTATGAAAACACAAGCCTCCGCAATACATGAATATTATACTAAACTTGGATAACACATGGCTTTTTGCTGCGTTTTTAATCATGATTTTTCGATGATCTTCTTGTTGGATTGTACGCCAATCACTACTCAGTATGCGAATGCATTGCTGGATGCTCTTATGATGAAGAATCAGGAAGAAATATTTCAACGTCACGACAAACACATAACATAATGGACCTAACACTTTAATTTTATCATTTGTGGCACTGTGTTTTGATAGCGTAATAATGATCATGGAAATCAAAAGAAAACTGAGCGCGGACCAACATAATGCGAATGATATCGTCGCTAATATCTTCTCGATCTTTGTAGTATTCGAATAAACCAACGGCCAGATTCCGAGAATTCGTAGTATCCATCGATTCCACACTAGCGCTTTGATTATATCCCTCTCACTGTTCACATTCGACCAAGGGATGTTAAGCTTAGCCATACTATCGTCACGATGGCGCGAAGGCGACTGGTATGCTTCGTCGATAGCGTGATGGTAAAAAATTGCGCATGACAATCGCAGATGCTTTCAACATTGTTAGGACAGGAAAGGGGAAAAGTAACTTGCGTGCGCTTGAACAATCAATTTTGTCGAGGGGAATACTGCTTTGTTACAGTTATATTATTACTTGAACAGAGGGATTTCTATAGCATGTAAAATTGCTTGATTATTTCCATGCTAAAATTATTTCCATGTAATTTTCAACTGTGTGATAGATTAATTTTTTAGTAATTAAATAAATGTGATATGATTTAAGATATGATTTAAGATATGATTTAAGTTTATACGTTATTGTCTTGCATGGTGTACACAAGATAATAACATGTATATTATTGTTTTAGAATATATTTATTTAGCGTAATGCATAAATCTTTTCAATTTAGAGGTTAATAAATCTTATTTTGTTGATTGATACGGAAAGCAGTATTGAAAAGAAATATTTAATTACTGTTATCAAGAAATTTCAACCAGTCATATTACGAACATTGTTCCCATTATCTTGAATAGACGTAACTATATAATATCGCAAAGTATATCGATGCTAACTGAAGATCTAGCAGATATGAACTGGCAAATATTTGTCAAATATTTTTAACGAAATAGATGAAAATGTAATTTTTTTAACAGATAATATTTCGAATAATGTTAATTTTTTTATATTTAATAAACTTTTAGTAAAGAGATTCGCAGGCTTTCTCGTGCAGACATAATTGGAACGTGCAGGTAGTTTTACAGATACATACTAAAATGTAGATAGCAAGACAAGATTACCTTAATGTTCGCACGTGATGCACGATAATCACCATGCATTTCTCAAACTTTGTATAATTGCATTTTTTTCTAAAAAAAATTTTCTACGCGTGTTATCACAATGTTATGTGGCCATACATATGAGCGATGAGTCATCCGCTAAGCAGCGTGCCTACGTAATGATGTTAAATATGACAATACTGATGAGATATTGAGGAAAAAAGGCGAAAGAATTACGCTGAAATTGAACAACGCTATATCTCTACATTTTCTTTAAGTTATAATGAAATCGAGAGGTATACAAACAATTTTCTTGTATAAAAGGAATTTGAAAATATAATAGTATGTGATCGTGCGTAAATCGTTTTGAGATACAAATAAAATAAACAAAATAACAAAGTTCAAACATGTAAAAATGCACTATTAACCATTTTGATTTTTTTTTTAAATTGAACGCCGATTCACATCGGTTTCTTGCAGAAATGCGATTTTAAGATAATTCTCTGTCGTACTTTCATTTCTTTGAATATTGAAAATATATTAAAATGAAACACGAGAGACGTAAAGATTCATTGTTAATATGAAATAAAAAGATTGGAAAAACAGATGTATATGGCATTACTAAAAAATTCAAATTTTTTTTCTATTTTTCAAATGCATTTAGAAATATACAAGGTGAGTCTGATACAAAGTTTACCACGTTTTTTTTGAAAACGGTTAAAGAACGGTGGAAGACAGTTATTATCGAAATTGTAGGATAAGTAGAGAGTCATACTTTGATGAATAATCTTAAATGTGTTTTGTTTTCATACTATCAATAAAAAAATTTTTTTAATGGGAAGAGGTATTTTTTACTTGTTTTATCGATGATGTTTAATGAATTGAACAATTTTTTATTAGAGTATTTTTTCTAAAATTCAACAATTGTCAGGATATAAACCAAAATAAGTCGGACTAAAAGTTTGGAACAAATTTTTTATTATTACAATAAATGTTCGCCATTTTAATCTGGATGCTTAATCCTGTAATTTTCATGGAAAGTTTACTTGAACTTCCTCTAATTCTTGGGTCGTTATTTCGCGAAAAATATTTTTTATTTTTTCTTTCATGTTTTCCGAAATGGTAGAACGTTGAAAATAAGGTAGCTCACTCTTCGCCAAAGATAATAATTCAGACATGTTGTATTGGATGATCTCACAGGGAATAACGAAGGATCACCTCTTATTCCATCCATCCATTTATTTGGGAACATTCTTTTGAGCTCTCGCTTTGTATTAATACCGAAGGAGGATTGTGCATCATCTAACTGAAGCCACATTCGATCCCTATCGGAATATCTTTCACTAAATTTGGAAAATCATTTTATAAGAGAAACGAATAAACTTCTCGATTGTTAGAAATTCCTTAAAAAAGAATGGCCTAATTAATCGAACACCAATCATTTTTGCCCAAACGTTAATACTTTACTAATGTTGATCCACAGTTCTCATTCAGTGGATTGACTTCGCTCCAATAATGCAAATTGTGCCTATTAATGGTTTCATCTTTTTAAATGTTTCTTCATCTGACCACAACAAAATCGTAAAAAGTTAAAATTTTTTATAATTTATTTGAGCTCATTTACAGAACTAGATCCTTATGTTAAAATCAATCTGTGAAAGTTCTTGGAGTACAATATACGATATGAATGTTTTTTTTTAGTATGTATGATACTGAAGATTGGCTAATATTTCTATCACAGCTGTCTGACTTATTTTGGCTCATATCCTAGTAATAGTTGAATTTTCGAAAAGGTACTCTAATGCAAAGTTATTCAGCTCGTTGAGCATTGATAGAACGAGTAAAAAATACTATATTATTCCTTTCAAAAAAATTTTTTTATTAGTGGTATGAAAACCCAGGACATTTAAGATTACTCGAAGTCATCAAAGTATCCCTCTACTTATCTGATAATTTTGATAGTAGATGTCTTCTACCTATCTCTAACCGTTTTCGAGAAAAACGTAGCGAACTTTTAATCAGATTCACTTTATATATGATACATAAATGAAAATTATGTTTGCAAACTTTGTCATAATTGATGGAAAATCGCAAATATTTCAATCGTATTTTTAATATGGCATATTGCAACCGATGCGACTTTATTAAATTAATAAGTATAAAACATTTTTATAAAATTTTGATTTGGACTATGTTTATTTAATGTATTGATATGTGTATTTAATTAGTTGTATCAAACACGTATACATTATTTTGAAATATATTTAATGTAATTATAAATTTTTTTTTCAAAGGAATTACTGAATATTATTTTATTCATTGATATGAAGCAGGATTAAAAAATCCTCTTGCATGGTTCAAACGAATGTTCGGAGCATGTTTAGATATGCAATCGAAGTTTTCAGTACCTGTTAATGTATGAAAAATGTGCTTAAAAATTTTTTTATTGTATTTTTTCACCTTCGAAATGATGACAAATAGTACTTACAGAGCCAAAACTTGAGAACGAAAGATTAATTATTTTTCCTGCAGTAATTTTTATCGGATGATGTGATATGCTGATCATTAAAATAAGATCGAGTGCAATTTTTCCTGGTAAATGGTACCACTCGATTTTATATGAAGCAAATCCAACTTTGCTGCACTAAGTATTTAGTTCAATATACATCATAAAAATAATAATATATATCTCTAATAGTAATAAAAAATGCGTAACACACATAATATATATATATATATATATATATATATATATATATATATATATATATATATATATATATATATATATATATATATATATATATATATTATGTGTGTTACGCATTTTTTATTACTATTAGAGATATATATTATTATTTTTATGATGTATATTGCAATATTCAAATGTTTTAAGATTTAATATAATTTAATTTGTTATTAAATATTATTAAAAATTTCAGTATAAACACCTGATTTGTTAATTGTTCGCCAATGTAGCAAAGCGTAAAAATGTTGAAAACAAACGATATTAATAGAAAAAAATATGTTATAATTGCTATACCGTCATTGTTATTCCATTCCTGTGAGATTGAAGTAATATTAAATCATTAATTACATTTTTTTATTGAATTAAAAACATTTGTGTTTACACTTTCAAATTTTATTTCTTTAAAGAATAATGCGTATATAAAAAATGTCAAATATTCATATATTTAATGAAAAATTTGATATGAAAGTGTGAGTTGAATCAACTTTTTATTTCAACTTTCACATCACAATTATTTTTGAAATTTTTTACACATTACCATGATGCAGTAATATTCCAACAGGCATATAGTTAACGTTGCTCCCACTATTTCAACTAGACATATTTCGCGTAAAATATTATCAATACTGACTGAAAATCTGCAAAATCTTTTATAGTACATTTTATATATTTTATTTAATAAATTAATTTCTATTTTTTACTTTCTGCAGTTAACTATTGAATACAATTAATAAAATTAAAGTTTAATTATTAATTAAATTAAATAACTATTTACAAAAGTTAACAATTTTGTTGCCTTTCTTCTACCGTAAATATTCTTTATCAAACAATTCATACAATTTTCAATTTAAATAATCAGATATAATTGACACAAACAATTTTTTCCGCATTCATGTGCATCGAGCACTCACCTCAATGACTGCATATGGTGTTTCACGATAATTGCCATACATTGCTTCATGCGATTGCTTTGTGCATTTTTCACAAAATTTTCTACGCGAACTATTACGATCCCGATTTGACCGCAAGCGTGAGCTACGAACATGGCTGCCAAGCAACACACTGCCGTGGTGACGTTGAACAGGACGATACCGGAACACCATTGTGCGCAAAATACAAATACATATACCGGAGTAAAATGCAAATCAAAAATAATATCGAACCCAGGGCAAGGTATTGGTTTAACAGTGACATTCTGTTTGTCGATTGTGGTATGCGTCAGAAACGGCATTATGGACTGAAAGCACACGCCTCCGCAATACATGAACATTATACAAATCTTGGATAACATGTGGCTTTTTGCCACATTTTTAATCATAATTTTTCGATAATTCTGTTGCTGGACAGCACGCCAATCGGTACTTAATACATGAATGCATTGCCGTATGCTTTTATAATGAATCACCAGGAAAAAATATTTTAGCGTCGAGATTAACACGTAGCTTAGCGGACCTAGCATTTTGATTTTGTCGTTTATAGTCGTTTGATCTGATAATGTAAAAATGGCCATGGGAATTAAAAGAAAACTGAGCGCGGACCAGCATAACGCGAATGATATCGTCGCTATTATCTTCTCGATCGTTGTAGTATTTGAATAAACCAACGGCCAGATTCCGAGAATTCGTAGTATCCATCTGTTCCATACTAGTGCGTTGATTATATCTCTCTCACTATTCACATTCGACCAGGGGATGTTAAGTTTAGCCATACTGTCATTACGATGGCGCAAAGGCGACTGGTGTGCTTTATCGGTAGCGTAATGGTAAAAAATTGCGCATGACAGTTGCAAGTTGTTTTCAACATTGTAAGGATAGGAAAGGGGGAAAGTAGCTTGCGTGCGCTTGAACAATCAATTTTGTCGAGGGGAATATTGTTCATCATAGTTATATTACTACCTGAACGGATAGATTTTCTGCAGCATGTAAAATTGTCCTATTTCCGTGTAGTTTTTGTTGTACGTGTTATTGATTTTTTTAATTAAATAATGTGATATATATGATGATAATTTAAAATGGATACACGTTATTATTTTATATGATGTATGCAAGATAACAACATGTATATTGTTACCTTAGATTAGAATATATTTATTTAGCGTAATGTATAAATCTTTTTAATGAAGAGGTTAATAAATCTTATTTTGTTAGTTGATGTGGGAAGCAGTATTAAAAAGAAATATATAATTACTGGTGAAAAAATTTCTACTAAGCATATTGCGAATGTCGTTTCCATTATCTTGAATAGACGTAACTATATATTAGGTGTTGGAATTAATTCGTAGCGTTTTACAAGTGATGGGAAGTACTTTCATTAATGTATTTTTTAATGCTCATGTGAAATAAATAACATTCTTTCATTAAAAAACGCTACGAATTAATTCCAACACCTAATAATAACGCAAAGTATATCGATACTAACTGAAAATCTACCAAGTACGAAATGACATTGGTTAAATATTTTTAACGAAATAGACGAAAACATAATTTTTTTAACAGATAATATTTCGAATAATGTTAATTTTTTATATAAAGAGATTTTGATAAAGAGATTCGCAGTTTTTTCGTGTAGATATTATTGAAACATAGGTTTACTGATATTAAAATGAAGGCGCAGGTAGTAAAACAAGATACTTACCCTAATGTTCGCACGTGATGCACGATAATCGCCATGCATTTCTCAAACTTTGTATGATTGCATTTGTTCTTCAAAAAATTTTCCATGCATGCTATCACAATGTTGATGTCTGGCCATACGCATCAGCGATGAGCATGACCTTTAAGCAGCATGCCGATGTAGTCATGTTGAATATGCAATACAGATGAAATATTGGGATGAAAAGGCGAATATGAAAGGATTACACTGAAATTGAAAAATGCTGTATTTGCATATCTTCTTTAAGTTGTAATGAAATCGACAGAGGTTTTCTTGCGTAAATTTAAAAATACAATATTATCATCGTGGGAGACCATTTTTTAATTGCCTGGTAATTTACTCACCAGATTTGAAGTTCGATGACAATTCAAACAGATAAAAACTATATTAATCATTTCACATTTTTATATAAGTTAAACGCCGATTAACATCGGTTTTTCCTTGCAGAAATGCGATTTCAGGATAAATTTTCTGTCGTGCCTTCATTTCTTTAAATATTGCAAATATATTACAGTGAAACACGAGATATATAAAAATTTATTGTCAATATGAAATCAAAAATACATTTGAAAAACAGGTGTGTAGATGTCATTACTGAAAAATTAATTTTTTTTCTATTTTGTCTTAAATTCAGATGCGTTTAGGAATATATACGATAAATGTATAAATGAAGATTATGTTTGCAAACATCATCATAGTTGGAAAATTACAAATATTTCGATCGCATTTTTAATGACACATTGTAATAGATGCGGCTTCGTTAAATGATAAGCGGAAAATATTTTTATAAAATTTTCGGATTAAGTTTGTTTATTTAATGTATTGATATGTGCATTTAAATGATTTTATCAAATGCATACATAATTATCTTGAAATATATTCATTTAATATAATTATAAATTTTTTCAGTAAAGGACTTACTGAATATTATTTTATTTATTGATATGAAGCAGGAATAAAAAATTCTCTTGCATGGATCAAATGAAATTTCGGAGCATATTTAGATATGCAATCGAAGTTTTTAGTACCTGTTAATGAAATACGTGCTTAAAAAATTTTTATTATTGTGCTTTTTCACCTTCGAGTGATGACAGAATTTGTACTTACAGAACCAAAACTTGAGAACGAAAGATTGATTATTTTTCCTGCAGTAATTTTTATCGGATGTTGTGATATACTGATTATTAACGTGAGATCGAGTGCAATTTTTTCTGGTAAATGGTACCACTCGATTTTATATGAAGCAAATCCAACTTTGCTGAACTAAGTATATAATTTATTTATACGTTACTTTATATATACATATGTTATCTGTGTATGTCAGGTAAATTTTTATTATTATTAGAGATATTATAAATTTTTATGATATACAGAGTTTATCTGAAACGCTCATTAATTATATAGTGCTATTGTCAATAAAAACTGAACCAAAAGCCCTGTACAATTTTACAATTTTTGCAATATTTTTTTTAGTTACGTAAGGAACAAAATGTTTAAAATCGATGTATAAGAAAATTTTAAGATATCTTTAAGAGTTCTTTACAAAATATTTTCAAAATATTTTAAAAAGAACACTGAAATATATCTCAAAATTGTTTTGTGTAGCGATTTTTTATCCGTTTGTTCTGCAATCTTTAGAAATAAATATCTCGTTAATTATTGTGAACATTGTAAAATGATACAGGATTTTTCGTCTTATAATTAGTTTTTTATTAGAAATAGCACTGCATGATTAGTGGGCATTATTTGAGATACACCCTGTACATTGCGACATTAAAAAATATTTTAGCATTTAATATAATTTAATTAATTTATTAAAAATTAATTAAAAATTTAATTATAAACACCTGATTCGTTAATTGTTCGCCAATGTAGCAAAGCGTGAAAACGTTGAAAACAAACGATATTAATAGAAAGAAATATGTTAAAATTGCTATATTGTCATTGTTATTCCATTCCTGTGAGATTTAGGTAAATCATTAATTTTATTTTTTGATTAAATTAAGAACATATTTCCTCACACCATAAAATTTTATTTCTTTAAAAAATAAGAAATAATGCATTCATAAAATATGTCAAATATCTATACATTTAATGAAAAAATTGATATAAAGTGTGAGTTGAATCATTTATTTTAACTTCCACAATTATTTTTGAAATTTTTCACACATTACCATGATGCAGTAATATTCCAACAGGCATATAGTTAACGTTGAGCCTACTATTTCAACCAGACATATTTCGCGTAAAATATTATCGATACTGACTGAAAATCTGCAAAATCTTGTATTGTACCTTTTATATATTTCATTTAATAATTTAATTTATATTTTCTACTTTTTCCGGTGAACTATTGAGTACAGTTAATAAAATTTAATTATTAATTAAATTTAATTATTATTTATGAAGTAAATATTTCTATATTTATAAAAGTTAAAAATTTTGTTTACTTTTCTTCTGCTGTAATTATTCTTTATCAAGCAATTCATATAATTTTTAATTTAAATAATCGGATATAATTGATACATTTTCGCAATGATCTGCATAAAGTACTCACCTCAATGACTGTATATGGTGTTTTACGATAATTGCCATACGTTGCTTCATGCGATTGCTTTGTGCATTTTTTATAAAATTTTCTACGCGAGTCATCACGATCTCGATTTGACCACAAGCGTGAGCTACGAACATGGCTGCCAAGCAACACACTGCCGTGGTGACGTTGAACAGGACGATACCGGAAAACCATTGTGCACAAAATACAAATACATAGGCCGGCGTAAAATGCATGTCGAAAATAATATCGAAACCGGGGTAAGGTATAGGTTTAACAGTGACATTCTGCTCATCGATTGTGGTTTGCGTCAGAAATGGCATTACGGTATGAAAACACAAGCCTCCGCAATACATGAACATTATAGAAAATTTAGATAGCACATGACTTTTTGCCACATTTTTAATCATAATTTTTCGATAATTCTGCTGATGGACTGCTCGCCAATCGGTACTTAGCACGTTAATGCATTGCCGTATGCTCTTACGATGAATTACCAGGAAAAAATATTTTAACGTCGAGATTAACACGTAGCTTAGCGGACCTAGCATTTTGATTTTGTCGTTTATAGTTGTTCGTTCTGACACTGTAAAAATGACCATGGGAATTAGAAGAAAACTAAGCGCGGACCAGCATAACGCGAATGATATCGTCGCTAATATCTTTTCGATCGTTGTAGTATTCGAATAAACCAATGGCCAGATTCCGAGAATTCGTAGTATCCATTGGTTCCATATTAGTGCGTTGATTATATCCCTTTCACTATTCACATTCGACCAGGGGATGTTAAGCTTAGCCATACTGTCGTCACGATGGCGCGAAGGCAACTGGTGTGCTTTGTCGGTAGCGTGATGGGAAAAAATTGCGCATGTCAGTCGCAGATGCTTTCAACATTATAAGGATAGGAAAGGGGAAAAGTAGCTTGCATGTGCTTGGACAATCAATTCTGTCGAGGGGAATATTGGTCATAGTTATATTACTACTTGAGCAGATGGATTTTCTGCAGCATGTAAAATTGTGTAATATTTCCGTATAATTTTTCACTGTATATTTAATTAATTTTTTAAATTAAATTATAAAAATTCTATAGACTAATGAATTAAATTAATAACGAAAAAAAGCTTTGAAGAAAGAAGCCGATGCAATCATGTTTTATGGTATAAAATAATTGAACACATTTTGATTTTTATTTTCTTCAGTAAATATATTTATGATTAAAATATTTGTTTCTCGTAATTTGAACTGTGAATAATGTGTATCTGTTAAGTCAATTCACATCCATATGTCAATGCCCATTAAATTATTAAGTTTAATGGATGTTTGAGTATTGGCATATCGTGCGATGTTGACAACTCGCTTATCATGGATCTGCACTGAAGAGGATTCAAATCAAGGATCGAAACACCTTCACTTTATTATTTTATACAATAAAACGTGATTGCAACAACATCCAGTATCGGCTTCAAAGGCTTCTTTACTTTAGTTTTTGATTTTTTAATTAAATAATATGATATGATTTAGGATGAATATACATTATTATCTTATATAATGTACGTAAGATAACAACATGTATATTATTATCTTAGATTAGAATATATTTATTTAACGTAATATATAATATTTTCAATGAATAGGTTAATAAATCTTATTTTGTTGGTTTATACGGAAAGCAATATTAAAAAGAAATATATAATTACTATTATCAAGAAATTTCTACCAAGCATATTACGAACGTCGTTCACATTATCTTGAATAGACGTAACTATATAATAGTATCAAGTATATAGATGCTAACTGAAAGATCTACCAGGTATGAACTGACATTTGTCAAACATTTTTAACGAAATAGACGAAAACGTAATTCTTTAACAGATGATAACAATTTGAATAATGTTAATGTTTTATATTGAGTCATTTAAAAAGTATCCGCGGTTTTTTCATTCAAAAATTGAACAAAAAACCGCGGATACTTTTTAAATGACCTAATATTTAATAAACTTTTGTTAAAGAGATTCATAGACTTTCTCGCGCAGAGTATTATATTGAAACGTACAGGTAGTTTTACAGATATTAAAATGCAGGTAGCAAGATAAGATACTTACCTCATATTCGCACGATAATTGTCATGCATTTCTCAAACTTGTATGATTGTATTTTTTCTTGAAAAAATTTTTCACAATGTGTTATCACAATGTTGATCTGGCCACATGCATGAGAGATAAGTATGACCGCTAAACAGTATGCCCACGTAGTGATGTTGATCTGACAATACTGATGAAATATCGAAGAGAAAAGGTGAACATGAAAGAATTACACTGAAATTAAAAAATTGTATCTGCATATCTTCTTCGAGTTATAATGAAATCGACAGAGATACAAATGATTTTCTTATGTAAACGAAATTTAAGAATATAATATTATGGTTGTGCGTAGACCGTTTTTTAACTCCTAGGTATTTTCTTACCAGGTTTGAAATTTGACGAAATAACGGTTAAACGGGTAAAAATGTACTATATTAATTATTTTAGTTTTTTTTTTTAAGTTGAACGCCGATTCACATCAGTCTCTCTTTGCAGAAATGCGATTTCAAGATAAGTTCTCTGTCATATTTTCACTTCTTCAAATAATGCAAATATTAAAATGAAACACGAGAGACGTAAAGATTCTTTGTTAATATGAAATAAAAAGTACCTACATTGAAAAAACAGGCGTGTAGATGTTTTTTTTCATCACTGAAAAATTAATTTTTTATTTATTTTGTTTCAAATTGAGGTGCGTTTAGAAATATATATAAATGAAGATTATATTTGCAAACATCATCATAGTTGATGAAAAATTGCAAATATTTCGATCGCATTTTTGATGATACATTATAATTGATGCGGCTTTCCTAAATGATAAGCGTAAAACATTTTTATAAAATTTTGATTCGGATTAAGTTTGTTTATTTAATGCATTAATATGTGCATTTAATTGGATATATCAAACACGTATACATTATTATCTTGGAATTATATATTCATTTAATGTAATAATAAATTTTTTTAGTAAAGGAATTACTGAATATTATTTTATTCATTGATATGAAGCAGGATTAAAAAAATTCTCTCGCATGGATCAAACTAAAGTTCGGAGCATGTTTAGATATGCAATCGAAGTTTTCAGTACCTGTTAATATATGAAATATTATATATGTTTAAAAAAAATTTTTATTATTGTGTTTTTTTACTTTTGAAGTGATGACAAATTGTACTTACAGAGCAAAAACTTGAGAACGAAAGAATAATTATTTTTCCTGCAGTAATTTTTATCGGCTGCTGTGATATGCTGTTTATTAATGTGAGATCGAGTGCAGTTTTTCCTGGTAAATGGTACCACTCGATTTTATATGAAGCAAATCCAATTTTGCTGCACTAAATGTATAATTTATATATATAATACATATGTCATATATGTATGTGTGTATGTCACGCAAATTTTTATTATTATTAGAGATATATGTTATAAATTTTTATGATATACTAAGTGTGTCTGAAATGACGCCCGGTAATAATCATATAGTGCTATTCTTAATAAAAAACTGAGTCAACAAGTCCTGTAACATTTTGCAATTTTCGCAATATTTTTTTTAGTTATGCAAAATGTTTAAAATCGTCGTATAAGACAACTTTAAGGTATATTTATGAGTTCTTTACGAAACATTTTCAAAATATTTTACAAAGAACATTGATAGATATCTTAAAATTGTCTTATACATCGATTTTAATTGTTTATTCGGCAACATTAAAGAATAAATATCACATTAAAGAATAAATATCACATTAATTATTGCGAAAATTGCAAAATGGTGAAGTACTTTTCGTCTTACAATTAGGAACAGCAGTGTATGAGTGTATTAGTGTGCGTTATTTTAGATACATCCTGTATATTGCAATATTAAACACTGGTTTAAAATTTAATATAATTTAATTCATTATTAAAAAATTTACGTATAAACACCTGATTTGTTAATTGTTCGCCAATGTAGCAAAACGTGAAAATGTTGAAAACAAACGATATTAATAGAATAAAATATGTTAAAATCGCTATACCGTCATTGTTATTCCATTCCTGAGAGATGATAATAAATCATTAGTTTTATTTTTTTATTAAATTAAAAACATATGTGTTTACACTTTGAAATTTTATTTCTTTCAAAAATAGGAAATAATACTTTATAAAATATGTCAAATGTATGTAAAATATATTTAATGATAAAAATTTAATATCGAAGTGTTAGTTGAATCATTTATTTCAACTTCCACATCGCAATTATTGTTGAAATTTTTTACACATTACCATGATGCAGTAATATTCCAGCAAACATATATTTAACGTTGCTCCCACTATTTCAACCAGACATATCTCGCGTAAAATATTATCAATACTGACTGAAAATCTGCAAAATCTTTTATTATACATTTTATATATTTTATTTAATAATTTAATTTCTATTTTTTATCTTCTGCGATGAACTATTGAGTACAGTTAGTAACATTCACAAGCTTAATAATTAATTAAATTTAATTATATTATTTATAAAGTTAATATTTTTATATTTATATAAATTGAAAATTTTTTTGTTTTTCCTTCTTCTGTAAATATTTCTTTATCTGCAATTCCCATAATTTTCAATTTAAATAATCGGCACAGAATATAATTGACACAGAATTTTTTCCGCAACGATGTGCATCACAAGCACTCACCTCAATGACTGTATGTGGTGTTTCACAATAATTGCCATATGTTCCTTCATGCAACTATTTTTTACATTTTTTACAAGATTTTCTATGCGAGCCATCACAATCTCGATTTGACCGCAAGCGTGAGCTACGAACATGGCTGCCAAGCAACACACTGCCGTGGTGATGTTAAACAATACCGTACCGGAAAACCATTGTGCGCAAAATACAAATACATAGGCCGGCGTAAAATGCAAGTCGAAAATAATATCGAAACCAGGATAAGGTATTGGTTTAATAGTAACATTTTGCTCGTCGATTGTGGTGTGCGTCAGAAACGGCATTATGGTATGAAAAGACAAGCCTCCGCAATACATGAATATTGTACAAAACTTGGATAGTACATGGCTTTTTGTCACGTTTTTATTCATAATTTTTCGATAATTCTGGTGGACTGCACGCCAATCGGTACTTAGCACGTTAATGCATTGCCGTATGCTTTTACGATGAATCACTAGTAAAAAATATTTTAGCGTCGCGATTATTACGTAGCTTAGCGGACCTAGCAATTTGATTTTTTCGTATATAGTTGTTCGTTCTGACAGCGTAAAAATGGTCAGAGGAATTAGAAGAAAACTGAGCGCGGACCAACATAACGCGAATAATATCGTCGCTAATATCTTCTCGATCGTTGTAGTATTGGAATAAACCAATGGCCAGATTCCAAGAATTCGCAGTATCCATCGAGTCCATATTATTGCGTTGATTATATCTCTTTCACTATTCATATTCGACCGGGGGACGTTAAGCTTAGCCATACTGTCGTCACGGTGGCGCGAAGGCGACTGATGGTGTACTTTATCGGTAGCGTGATGGTAAAAAATTGCGCATGACAATCACAGGTTCTTTCGATAAAGTGTGGTAGCAAAAGGGAGATGTACTTGAATAATCAATTTTGTCGAGGGGAATATTACTTTGTCATAGTTGTATTTCTACCTGCACGGAGAGTTTGCCTGTAGTAATAAGACTGATTATTTCCGTATATTTTACTATTGTATGTGATTAATTAAATCTTTTTTTAAGTAAACAATTATGTATGGAGTCATTTAGAGAATTGAAAATTTTGAATGTTACATCTTGATAATAAAATTTTTAAAGATATTGTTTTATATACAGGTTATTCGGAAATTCAAGCGACAAGTTTTTGTTCTCATAGAACATTAAGAATTTTTTCAGAATTTTTTATCAACTTTTTAGTATTGCATTTTATTATTTTTACCAATTTGAGAAAATACAGTAAAAAATTTTGAAAAAATTCTGAAGAAATTCTGAAGAATTTTATGAAAAAAGAATAAACAATTTTTATCTGTTGTATATAGGAAATATATATACATAAATATTTATATTACCTGATCTTATTTTTTTAAAATATGCAAGTAAAATAACCATAATATGAATTTTACTTCTTGTGAATTTTAAAATCAATATTAATTTTTCATAAATGTCATTTTTGCATTAAATAATTTATTTAATATGCATCTTTATCTTAAAAATATGATTAAATATTGTTTCTTTTTGCACCGAGGATATCAAAATGATTGCATATCATTTCATGTATCTACCGAATGGCAGTTCGAAGTAAGTTTAAATACGCAACCGATGTTTTTAAAACCTATAAAAGTAGTTCATGAGCTATTATTGAAATCTACTTTCTTAAAATTATAAATTTATTTAGATTTAATCATTTTCATTTTTTTTTTAATTTAATATTTTTCTTTTAAACATGAAAATGAATTATACTTACATTTCCAAAATTTGCAAAAGAGAGACTTAATAACCTTCCAGCAGTAATTTGTACCGGATGTCCAGACATATTAATCATCAGCATTAAATCAAGAGCGACTTTTCCCGGTAAATTATACCATTCAATTGTATATGTAGTATTCCCGACTTTGCTGCACTGTGTATCCAATTTTGTATATTTGCGAATTACGTATATACATATCAGTTGAGTATATTATTTAAATACAGAATTGGCCGAAATTAAATTCTGCGAAATCACATGGTAATTAATTTAGTTCGACATAAAATTTATATATAAGCACCTGTTCCGTTAATAGTTCGCCGATGTAACAAAATATAAAGATGTTGAAGACAAATGAAACAAATAGAAAAAAGTACGTGAAGATTGCTATACCGTCACTATTGTTCCACTCCTGCGAATGGAATATCGATTTCGTATATTTTATTGGGAAATGTGAACTAGGCAATGTATTAATTAAATGTAATTATTATTGAATATAATTATGATTACTTAAATATTACGATTACTTGAATATAATTATGATATTTGGAATGTTTGAAATATTTTGTTACCGTTATCAGGGAATATTCTACCAAGCACATTATCAATGTCGTTCCCACTATTTCGACTAGACATAACTCACGCAAGGTATCTTCGATGCCAGCTGAAAATCTACAAAGTTATGATCGAGCATTCGTTTTATTTTTAACAAAATGGACGGAAACATAATTCTTTTATCAGATATTATTTTGAATAATGTTAATTTTAAATAATGTTAATACTTAAATTTTTATTTAAAAAATTCGCAGAATATTATCGCGGAGACATTATTGAGACGTGTGGATAATTTTACAGGTAATAAGATGCAGGTAGAGCAAGACAAGATACTTACCTTAATGTTCTCACGTGATGCTGTACGATAATCGCCATGTATTTCTCAAACTTGGTATGATCGTGTTCTCCCTTGAAAAGATGCTCCACACGTGCAATCACAATGTCGATCTGGCCACACGCGTGAGCGACGAACATGGCTGCTAAGCAGCACACTGACGTGGTGATGTTAAACATAACAATACCGATAAAACATTGAAGAGAAAAGGCAAACACATAAACTGGCATTAGTTGCAAATCGAAAACAATATCGAAGCCGAGATAAGCCATCGGTCGGACGGTGATATTCTGTTCGTTTGCGTCCGATGTTTGCGATAGAAATGGCATTACTGTATTGTAAGACAAGCCACCGCAATACATGAATACTATACAAAATTTGGACAACAAGTGGCCCTTCTCCGCGTCCCTCATCATGATTTCTCGATGATATTTTTCTTGAACCATACGCCAATCTGTACTGAGAATCTGAACGCATCGTCGAATACTCTTATGACGTATCACTAGGAAAAGATACTTCACCATGGAAAAGAATACGTAACCCAGTGGACCCAACATCTTCATTTTCTCACCCATGATACTTCGGTCCGTAAAGGTATATATGCTCGTAAGTACCAGGAATAAACCGAGTACAATCCAACACGATGCAAACGAGAACGTTGCCAGGATCTTTTCGATCATTGTGGTGTCCGAGTATATCAGTGGCCAGATTCCAAGAACCCGCAATAACCATCGGTTCCATATCAGAATATCGATTACATCCTGCTCATGATTTGCATTGGGCCATGTCGGGATTTTGCCCATATTGCTGTGTCGAAGGTGCGCGAGCGACTGGCTGGTACCACATCGATTGTAGAATGGTAGAAAATTTGCGCATGACCATAATAAGTACTTTCAACTTCATATTAGGGAGAACAAAAGAAGGAGAATGGTAGAAAGGGAGGAGAAGCCAGCATGGGCTTGAAAAATCGATTTTGTGGTAGAGATGTATAGTTTCAGTTGTACGTTGTCACCTGCAAAGATAACTACGTAGGAGTACAGGATTATCATTGAGATTGTGTTGAATATAAATCGTTATGTTTTTCCTCCTTTGTTTCGATGATCGTTTTTTTTATTATGATCATGTATTTGAAACCTGTCTATTTCATTTGAATCATTATAGAAGCTAGTTTTTAAGTGTCATCATGAGAACGCATTAATAATCGAATAAAGGAGGTTCAAAAATTGTATTTGAAAATAATTATTTTTTAAATATATTATATTGACGTGGATAAATATAGGTAATTTTATTATAAAACTTATTATAAAATTTTATTATAAAATTTATTATAAAAATGATTTATTATACAAAATAATATTTTTTGATATCTTGAATAGTTTTTTAAATATGACAGGGAAGGGAGGGGAGCAGAAAACGGCTTTATTTGTAAAGACTGATTTTATCCTTTAAAATTGTTCTTCCACACAACTAATATTTTCTAACTTCATTTATAGATTAACGTAACTTATACGTGTTTCATTAAAATTATATCATATTTTATCAAATCAGAATTTGCCATTTTGCGAGGTCTCCTTGTAAGTATACTTTTGCTTAAAATATAATATCGAACTTGATATAATACTTGATATAATATCAAACGAAATAAATAATTAGTAATATCTGAATTAATCGAAGATTATAATATATTATTTTATTATTAATACACATTTCCTCTGTACAATATCTATAATAAAAATAGATCTGTCTCGCAAATTTTAAATAGTAAAAGCTAGAGTAGTATATGGAATATAAATTTTATTCTGTAACCGTACGAAGTAAATTTAAATATACTACTGATGATTTGAGTACCTGAAAGTGATATGAAAGTGACATGATTCAGAATTACATAAATAAGAGAGAGTACACACGCACGCACGCACGCATGCACACACAATGTAGACTGTCAATAAAATTTTTTTTAATCGGCTACTTAGCTCGAAAGCTTCCATTTCACTGAAAGGACTTTAAATTTTTATAAACAAATATTAAGATTTAGAGGTCTCTAGTGAATGATTTTTAAATCAAAGTTTCGATTTTCCTTAATACATGTTTGATTTGGTGCAAAAATGGCTTAATCTGCAAAAATGGCTTTCAAACGAGGTACTGTATGTTTTTTTGATCGCGATGCAATAAGTTTTTTAGGAGGTCCTGGGAAAATTCTAACTGAATCTTGTTCTGGGTGAACAGACCTACAATTGGAGAGGAGTAACGACACATTTGAACGGTTAGAATCCTGCTAAAACCGATCTTAAACTCAAAACTTAATCATTTTTTCATATTAATAGGACTATATTTCTTAAGCCTATATAATGGAGCTAAATGAACTATTGATCAGCGATCAAAAAAAAAAACATACAATAATACATTTAAAATCTGGATTAACTCATTTTTGTATAAAATCAAAATATATCAAGGAAAATCGAAACTTTGATTTAAAAATCGTTTACTAGCGATCTCTAAATCTTAATATTTTTTAATAAAAATTTAGGAGTGTTCTTTTGGT